CCACAATAGTTCATATGATAATCAAGGTGGCTACCCAGAATGACATGTAATTTAAAACTTAGGAGTTGTTTAGAAATTCTAGAATTTTTCACCTAATATTTTTGGACCACAGTTAACTATAGGTAACTGAAACACAAAAAGCAAACCAAACCACAGATAAGAGGAGCTACTGCACAATAATTGAAATTTAGAAAATCACTACAAGGATTCAAAGATCTGAGCAGACAAAAGAATCAGCAACCTTGAAGACAGGATAATGAAAATTATCAAGTTTGAGGACCAGAAAAGAAAAAATGACTGAAGAAAAATGAACAAAATCTAAGGGGTCTGTAGGAAATTTTCAAGTAGGACAATATGTGCATCATAAGATTCTTAGGAGGAGGGAAGGGGTGGACATTTGGCCCAACAGTTAAAAAGCCACTTGGGAACTTGCATTCCACATCAGAGTGCCTGGGTGTAAGTTCTGGCTCCACTTCTGACCCAAGATTCCTACTAATGAAAACCTTGGGAGGCAGCAGATGATGGCTTCAGTAGTTGGGCCCCTGCCACTCACATGGGAGACTCTGATTAGGTTCCTGGCCTCTAGCTTTGACCTGGCATGAACCAACAGATGGGAGATATCTCTGTATCAGCCTATCCATCTCCCTACCCAGCTGCCCAATTTCTCTGCCTTTCAATTTAATAAAAATCAGTTCACTAGTTAATTTTTAGAGTGAGTGAGAAATTAAGCTATTTCCAGATCAACAAATTTGAGGGCATTTGTTACCACTAGGCCTGCTGCTATGATATGGATATGATTTGTCTCCTCTGAAGTTTTGTGTTAAAGTTAATCCCCATTGTGAGGGATTAAGAAGGTGAAAACTTAATCTGACCATGGTGTTTAGAGATGAAGCCTTTGGGAGATGAGTAGGATCAGATAAGCTCATCAGAGTGGAGCCTCATTATTGAACACTGGTAGTTTTATAAGAGGCACAGAGAGACCAGCATACACACGTGTGTTCTGTTTCTTTCAGTGCGTGACATCCTGGGCCACCTTGTGACTCTGCCAGCAAGCAGGCCATCACCGGAGCAACAGCAAGGACAGGCAGATGACGCTACGTAACAGTTGGAGACATCAATACCTTCTTCTCAGTAAGGAGCAGAACCACCAGACAGTAGATAAGTAAGGAAATAGAGAACTTAACACAATACACCAACTGAATGTAACAGACAACAGCGTACACATTCCTCTCAAGTGCACATGAGACATTCTCCAAGACAGACTATATGTGAGGCCTCAAATTTACAAAATATCTTCTCTGACCTCCATGGGATAAAATTAGAAATCCATAGCAAAGGTAAAAAAGTCACATAATCTGTGTATTAACATACTCTTAAACTTCTAATGCATCAAAGAAGTCAGAAATAAACCCTCACAATACAGTCAAATGACTTTTTAAAAAGGCTCAAAGACCAGGCAATTGGGGAAATAATAGTCCCTTCAGCAAGTAGTGTTGGGGAAGCTGCACATCCACACGCAAAAGAATGAAGCTGGACCCTTCCCTTACCCCACTCACCCACCCACACACACACTCACATACATACACACAAGCCAAAACGGATCAAAGACCTAATCATAAAAGCTAAAATCACTAAAGTCTTAAAATAGGGGAGAATCTTCATGACATTGAATTTGACAATAATTTCTTATATATGACACCAAAAACAAAGGCAACAAAAAAGAAAACAGATAAACTGAATTTTATCTAAATTTAAAAAACTGTTGTGCCTAAGAGACTATGAAAAGAATGAAAACACAGCTAGCAGAATGAGAAAAAAAAATTGTAAATTGTATACCTGAAAAGATTTCAATTCCAGGATAAAGAACTCCTACAATTAACAATAAAACAAATAACCTAATTTAAAAATGGGGCAGGATTTAAATAGACATTTCTGAAAAGAATACATGTGGGGGCCTGTTTTGGAACATAGTGGGTAAAGATGCTGCCTGAGACAACAGCATCCCATATGGGCGCCGGTTCAAGACCCAGCTGCTCCACTTCTGATCCAGCTCTCTGATAGGGCCTGGGAAAGCAGTAGAAGATGGCCCAAGTCCTTGGGTTCCTGCACCTGTGTGGGAGACCTGGAAGAAGCTCCTGGCTCCTGGCTTCAGATTGGTGCAGCTCCAGCAGTTGAGGCCAACTGGGGAGTGAACCATTCAAAGGAAGACCTCTCTCTCTGCCTCTCCTCTCTCTATGTAACTCTGACTTTCAAATAAATAAATAAATCTTTTTTAAAAATAGAATTACCTCCTTAAAAAAATATAATTCACAGGCCTGATAAGTTGTGAGTGGCATTATAAGACATTAGAAAATGAATGGCCTTTTCTTCAAATGACACTAGAATAACTAGCTAGAAATATAGAATATATATAATATGTATAAATGTTAAATATACATTTAAGAATATATATATATATGCACAGACCTTCTACTACTCAAAAAAATACATTCTGACAGGCTAAAAGTCTAATAAAAAGTAAAACATTAGGGGCTGGCACTGTGGCAAAGAGGGTAAAGCCGCCGCCTGCAGTGCTGGCATCCCACATGTGTTCGAGTCCCGGCTGTTCCACCTCCAGTCCAGCTCTCTGCTGTGGCCTGGGAAAGCAGAGGAAGATGGTCCAAGTCCTTGGGCCCCTGCGCCCACGTGGGAGCCCCAAAAGAAGCTCCTGGCTCCTGGCTTCAGATTGGTGCAGCTCCAGCCATTGCGGCTACCTGGGAAGTGAACCAGCAGATAGAAGACCTCTCTCTCTCTCTCTCTCTCTCTCTCTCTCTCTGTAACTCTGCCTTTCAAGTAAATATAAAAAATATTAAATATTTAAAAGAAAAATATTACTGAAATCTTTATATAAGAATCTGAGAAAGATCCCTTCAAAAAGTTTCAGATTCATAAACCACAAAGGGAAATACTATTTTGGCTTCTTTACAACAAAGAAACTCCCATACATCAAAATAGTAAAACAAATTTTAAAAGCAAACCACATACTTCTAATATGATTTTAATATATCTAATTGACAAAAGTTTTCTTTCTAGACTATTTATAAAAAATTCATACAAATCACTATAAAATTGAAACAGGAGCAAAAGACATAAACAGGCAAAGAACTTAGAAAAGGAAAAAAATCCAAGTAAGTGGTCCGTAATCATATGAAAATATGCTCACACTCAGTAAAGGTCAAGCTAAAAGTTAAAGGGCCATGAGGAAGTCAAAGGTTGACAAGGGCATGGGGAAGTAGAAACAGAAATAGTACAGGTGGGGTATAACTTGGTACAATCACTTTAGAGAGATCAAATTTGAGTTGCAAATGCCCTACAATTCAGTACTTCCATATTAAGCAATAGGTTGAAACAACTCATGCATGTATGCAAGAAGAAATGAACAAAGATGTGACCTCATCGCTGTTCCTATGAGCAAAGAAATGGGAAACCTAAATACTCATCAATAGAGGATACTTAAAATCTGCATTCATATGATGAAATATGACATTAAAATGTGACTATAAATAAGCAATTGATAGATGTCGAAAACCTAAGAGTGGAGTGAAAAAGATAAATATAATATATGCACACTCTTAAATTATGTAAACTCATAAAATAACTATACTATTATATGTTGCATATGGGAAATATAATATGTTGCATATGCATAAATATAAGTTTAAACCTAAAAAAATCCTTATACACACACATTGTTAATAATAGTTTGTGGGGTTGAGGGAAGAAGGAATGAACCTCAGATGATGGTTAAAAGCAATTTTTGCTTTGCCTCATCTTCAAAGATTTCTTTTTTTCTTAAATGATTTGTTTATTTTATTTGAAAGACAGAGTTACAGAGAGAGAAAGAAAGGGAAAGATAGAGAGAGAGGTCTTCCATCTGCTAGTTCACTCCCCAGATGGCTGCAACAGCCTGAGCTGGGCTGGTCCAAAGACAAGAGCCAGGAGAGTTTTCTGGGTCTCCTGTGTGGGTGCAGGGGCCCAAGCACTAGGGCCATCTTCCACTTTCCCAGGAGCATTAGCAGGGAGCTGGACTGGAAGTGGAAAAGCCAGGACTTGAACTGGCACCCATATGGGGGATGCAGGCACCCATATGGGATGTTGGCCCCAAGAATTTATTTCTTTAAAATAAAAAAGAAGAAAAAGAAAAAAACCATAGAGGAGCAGGCCACTGTCTGGTGTATCAGTTAAGCTGTGGTTGGGACACTGGTATGCCACACAGGAGTGCCTGGATTGCAGTCCCAGCTTTGCTTCTAATTCTAGTTTCGTACTAATGCACACCCTGGGAGATAGCAGTGATGCCTCAAGTACTTGGGCCCCTGCCCAGAGTCTTAGGTGGAGTTTTTAGCTCCTGGCTTCCACCTGTCCAGACCTGCCTGTTGCAGGCATTTGGGGTATAAGGAATGATGGAAGATCTCTCTGTTTCTCTGCCTCTCAAATAAATAAAAATAAAAATTAGAAAGAAATGATTAAAAAAAAGCATAAAGAAAATCCTGAGAAGAAATATAACAAAATAGTAAAGGTTGTTTATTCTGAATGGTGAAAATTTGAGTAGTTTTGAGTTTTGTGCCCGCACTCACCTTTCTATTCACACACAGGTCACATAGACTGCACCAACACCCAACAAACAATTGCTGTCCCAACTACTGGAATGTTTTAAGCTGTACCTAATTACACTTGAACATATCATCTCGGTTTATTATTTCCCTGGCTGTGCCCAAGACAGCACACTGATTTCACTATCTCAGTGCCAGTCGCAGAGGATTTTCAGGGCCAGAACCTGGAATGAGAGACTTGCAGGCTGCCTGAGTGAGCCTGGGACATCTGAGAATGTGCCAAGTTCAGTTACAGTGACTGTTGCAGGGCAGTACCTGCTTAAAGGCACAGGAACCTGAAAGCCAGTCACTCACCAGTCAGGCTGGGGACACCACTTGTAATTACAAAACTGATCTTTTAGTGTTAATAACCTGAGCGTTGTCGCACAACACGGATGGTCCTGGTCCCAGACTGTGGCGCCTTATCTTCACCTGGTAGGAGAGGGAAGCCTTCCCAGCTTGCCTCTGAAGATTCTGACAGTTGAGGGTTCAGCAGTTCCCCTCCACCCCGTGTTCCTGGGACCAGGCTGCCAGACCCGCTGTCCTGCCACACTCACAGGCTGCACTCTCACTCCCTCTGAAGTACCCCATCCTTTTAACTCAGCAAAGAAGGATACAGGAGACCTTCCACACTCAGAGGATAATCCACTTTGTTTTCAAGTAGTGAAAAATAAGTCTTGTCCCCTACCAAGGAGCAAGCCCATCATCAGAAAGCATTTCAGCTGCTGCATAAGTTCATGAGCGTGCATGAGTCATTCCGTATGTATACACACTTTAGAACATCGTGTTGTACACCGCGAATGTGGAGAAAGCTTTGCTGCTCAGGGGCCAGCACTGTGGCACACTGGTTCAAGTCCCAGCTGCTCCACTTCCAACCCAGCTCCCTGGAATGCACATGGAAAGCAGTGGAAGATGGTACTTAAGTTCCTGCCACCCACATAGGAGACCAAGATGGAGTTCCTGCCTCTTGGCTTCAGCCTGGCCCAGATCTGGTTGTTGTGACCATTTGGAAAGTAAACCAGCAGATGGAAGTCTCTCTGTGTGTGTGCATGTGTGTGTGTGTATCTCCCTCTCTTGTAACTCTGCCTTTCAAAAAAACAAATAAAAAACAAAAAAAAAAGTAGAGGCAGAGGGAGGAGAAGAGAGAGAGATACTACTCGGCTTAAAACAACATAAATTCAATGTAAGTTTGGTCATTGACAATTATTAGCAATACTTGTGCAGTCTAAGCCATTGGTTCTCAAGCTTTATGGCCTCAGGAACACTTCATATTGTTATAAACCATTGAAGAACACAAAGAGCATTTCTTATGTTGCTTATATCTTTTGATATGTACCACAGTCAAAATTATAACTGAAGGGAAATGTTTAAATGCTTATTCATTAATCTATTTTAAAAACAATCTAGACACTACATGTTAATATAAATAATGTTTTTATCAATGTAATATTTTAAAAAATAAAAAATAATTGAGTGAGAACAATGACATCATTTTACATTTTCACACATCTTTTTTATTTTTATTTTTATTTTTTGACAGGCAGAGTGGATAGTGAGAGAGAGAGACAAAGGTCTTCCTTTGCCGTTTGTTCACCCTCCAATGGCTGCTGCAGCCGGCCCACAGCGCTGATCGAAGCCAGGAGCCAGGTGCTTTTCCTGATCTCCCATGCAGGTGCAGGGCCCAAGCACTTGGGCCATCCTCCACTGCACTCCCAGGCCACAGCAGAGAGCTGGCCTGGAAGAGGGGCAACCAGGACAGAATCCAGTGCCCCAGCCGGGACTAGAACCCGGTGTGCCGGTGCCGCAGTCGGAGGATTAGCCTATTGAGCCGCGCTGGCCTATTTTCACACATTTTACTGTCTGGCTTAATAGAAGAAAACTGGAAATAAATTAAGAAAATCTAGCCACATAAAGATACACAGCTGGAGGAGTATTTTAATAGTCTTTGTATAATTATGGTGAGTTTGTTTCTTAAAGGTTAGTTGTGATGGGCCGGCGCCGCGGCTCACTAGGCTAATCCTCCGCCTTGCGGCGCCAGCACACCAGGTTCTAGTCCCGGTCGGGGCGCCAGATTCTGTCCCTGTTGCCCCTCTTCCAGGCCAGCTCTCTGCTGTGGCCCAGGAGTGCAGTGGAGGATGGCCCAAGTCCTTGTGCCCTGCACCCCATGGGAGACCAGGATAAGCACCTGGCTCCTGCCATCGGAACAGCGCGGTGCGCCGGCCTCGGCGCGCCGGCCGTGGCGGCCATTGGAGGGTGAACCAACGGCAAAAGGAAGACCTTTGTCTCTCTCTCTCACTGTCCACTCTGCCTGTCAAAAAAAAGGTTAGTTGTGATGTGGGATAGGAAACCTTATCGGCAACCTTGCATACTGTTATCTGAAAATCTGTTGGCCTATTTTGCATTTTGCGTGAATCTGTCACCCACTATGATTTTGTAACTTAAGTCACATTAAATTGGAAAATATCGGATCACCAATCTTCTCAATTATGCTTGTTAATATTGTAATGTTCTCATAAAAAGTCTTCAATTAGTGGAAAGCTGTCCAGCTCATGGATGTGGATACATGTTTTCCAAAATTGCTATTTTCACTTGAAAACTCAAATTTTAACATTATAAACAATACTGTGTGTTGTTTTCCTTAAAATGGTAATGCTCACTTTATTCAATTTTGAAAATATGTCTGCCAAATATCAAGGTTTGACAAAAACCTAGTTTGACAATCTTGTTTTTCCTCAAACAAAACAAGTATTTTTTAGAAATATGGTTAGTTCAGCTGAGAACTCCAATATAAAGACAGCTATGTTACTTGAAGCAACCAAAAGCACTTTATGCATCGCTCCCATTTTATCTCACAGAATAGTAACAAAGGCATGCATGCAAGGTTCCAGACCTTAAAAAGTTAACAAATTTTACCACTTCATCATGTACTCGTTTAAGTGATACTTTTTCTGAAAGTGCATGACATGAAAAATACAATAGGGGCCAGCGCTGTGGCATAATAGGTAAAGCCCACTGGCATCCCATATGAGCAACAGTTCAAGTCCTGGGTGCTCCACTTCTGATTCAGCTCCCTGCTAATGCACATGGGAAAGCAGCAGAAGACAGCCCAGGTGCTTGTGCCCCTGAGCCCACATGGCAGATCCAGAAGAAGCTCCTGGCTCCTGGCTTTGGACTGGCCCAGTTCTGGCTGTTGTGGCCATTTGGGGACTGAATCAGCAGACTGACTGAAGATCTCTCTCTCTCTTTCTCTCTCTCTCCCTCTCTCTGTAACTCTTTCAAATAAATGAATAAATCTAAATATATAAAATAACTAATAGTACAGTTTGGTACCACTGCCTGAATTTGTGCTAAGGCACCAACTTTGCCTGTTATTTCTTTTAGACCAAATGCTAACTTATTGAAAAATTTAAAATAAATCTTTTCTTTTTTTTTTTATTTTTGATTTTTTTGAAGACAGGCAGAGTGGACAGTGAGAGAGAGACAGAGAGAGAAAGGTCTTCCTTTGCCGTTGGTTCACCCTCCAATGGCCGCCGCTGCAGCCGGCGCACCGCGCTGATCCTGGCAGGAGCCAGGAGCCAGGTGCTTTTCCTGGTCTCCCATGGGGTGCAGGGCCCAAGCACCTGGGCCATCCTCCACTGCACTCCCTGGCCATAGCAGAGAGCTGGCCTGGAAGAGGGGCAACCGGGACAGAATCCGGCGCCCCAACCGGGACTAGAACCCGGTGTGCCGGCGCCGCAAGGTGGAGGATTAGCCTATTGAGCCACGGCGCCGGCTCTAAATAACATCTTTTCAAAAAATATTTATTTATTTGAAAGTCAGAGTTACACAGAGAAAGAAGGAGCAGCAGAGAGAGAGAGAGAGAGAGAGGGAGAGAGAGAGAATCTTTCATCCACGGATTCACTCCCCATTTATCCTCAACAGCCGCAGCTGCACCAATCTGAAGCCAGGAACCAGGAGCTTCTTTCAGGTCTCCCACACAGGTGCAGGGACCCAAGTATGTGGGCCATCTTCTACTGCTTTCCCAGGCCACAGCAGAGAGCTGGATTGGAAGAGGAACAGTCAGGACACCCATATGGGATGCTGGCATTGCAGGCAGCAGCTTTACCCACTAAACCACAGCGCCAGCCCAGGTAAATAACATCTTAGTGATATCATAATAATACTCTCTGTAAACACCCATGGTTTGTCTCAAGAAATGAAATGTACCTATTAAATAATTTCTAAAAAGCCATTTGCAAGTGCCCTTGCAAGCACCCTGATCTCTAATTACCATGTTTTGCTCAGACACCCACCCTCTTGAGGCACTGAAGTGTTATGAGATTTTTCCAAGGAGGAAACTGTATATCACATAAATGTGCTTTTCCTCCCTAAAACAAATAGAAAACCTAACAGTCAAAAGGCAACAAGCAGAGCAACTATTGGGGATGAGCACGTTCTTTTCCATTAGTGCTCATGCAGCCACCAGCGCTGTTGGCCTTGCTACTAATTCTGTGCAAAATGTGTCCCAAATGTTTAGGTGGGATTCCCGTGGGCTAGGGATGAGTGCAACTTTCAGCCACTTACCTTAAAGAGGATGCCGTCTTGAGAGCCCCCCAGTGAGTCATGTCAATCACAAGCATTTTCTACTCTTGCTCCATTTTGGGGGTGGGGTGCTTCAGCATTACCCTGTACCCCACTAGAGGACTGGAAAAGGAAAGACAGGAGCAGACAGCAAAGGTAGCTGGAAACTTTCATTCAATCAACACACCTTGATCAAGTACCTCTCACATGTTGGTCATTGTTTTCAACAGAGTCATAGAGTAATACCTATGACAACTTACATGGAGCTTTCCATCGCGTTGAAAGCTTCCCAGGCCTGTCTAGGAGTCACATGGTTGAGAAGCCCAAGGCATTCACTAGCAGATGGCCAGGCATTGCTTCTCATCTCCTATCCCAACTATGCTAATTACCCATTAGCATCAGTTACACAAAATCATCAAGTAATGGGTGCTGATCTAATTCTACATCACGGCCCACAAAAGTACCAAAAATTCTGAAATAAATACATTAAAAAGCATCCAACATTTCTCTAAAGAATGTATCATAATTTTTCAGGAAAAATATCCATGGATGTACTCATCAAGCTGTTCAGGTGGTATTTTCTAAAATGCAAAAAAAAATAAAATAGACTACTAGAATAAATAAAATAAAAGAGACTACTAGAAACAGTCAAAATCACTGCTTATATAGGGGGGCTAACACTGAGGTTTTCTAAGGCCTGACAAGATTACCTGATACCCATAAAACTATAGGTACATATGGAGAAAGGGTGAAGTACTCAGCCATTTAGAGTAAGTTCCCTACAGCCATTTGCCAGTAAATATCTCAGCACGTGTTCTCTAAGACATCTGTTCAACTCATGTTCTCTAACCCAAGCACAATACCATTCATCAAGAAACTGAGTACTGGGTAAAATATTCCTTAATGTGCAATCCATAATCACATGTCCAAATTGTCTCCATTTCATCTTTATTGAGGTGCTATGAATTGACGTGTCAAATAGAAATTGTATATATTCACAGAGTACATTTGCTGTACATGTGTGTAGGGGGGCACATACTGCAAAATAATCACCTAGGTGAAGCTAATTAGCATCCCC